GTGGTAGAGGGCCAGGCCGGCGATGCGGCCGAGCAGCGCAAAGTGCGCGAGGTGGTCAGTCTGGTACGCGGCCGAGTTGGGGTTGGGCTGCAGCGTTTGCCCACCGGCCGCAGAGAAGAGACCAAAGTCCCGGTCCCCCATTTCCTTCGTCACCTCGCTGAACCACGCGCGCCGTAGCCCGTCGCCGCCGGCACCCTCGCCCTCGTACGTCACGTCCAGACGCCGCGGGACCGTCCCATCCAGCAGGACGCCGGTGGTCTCGTCGACGCCCAGCTGCGCGCAGAGGCCGTCCGTGATGTTGTCGTGGTGCACCACGAGCGAGAGCGCCGCAGCATCAGCGTCGCCCACCACCGCCTCCAGGCGCTCATGGAGCCAAGCGCGCTTGGCGGGCAGGTTGAGCAGCGAGGGCTTGGAGAGCAAGTCGACCTTGTAGTACGGGATCTTCTCGGGCGACTCGACGAGGTTAGCCCAGAAGCGGTCTGCGCCTCCGATGGACGCAAGGAACTCAAGGCAACTCTCGTGGCCACGTCGTGCGGCGACTTCGGCCGGTGTCACGACATCGGCGAGGCCCCACGAGAGAGACTGCTTCGCCTCAAGCTCGGCGATGACCCCTGGCAGACCGGTCGCATCCGGCGACGTAAGCTCAACCAGTTGGGCGAGGAGCGGCGTGATGCTTTCGGCGAGGCTCGCGTGCAGCACCCGCAGGCAGTCGGCGTGGCCATTTGATGCGGCGGCGTGAGCGGGAGTGACTCCGCACGCAGTCGCCGCCGAGAGGCTCGCCGCCGCTCCAAGCGCGTGCAGCACCCGCAGGCAGTCGGCGTGGCCGTTTGATGCTGCGAAGTAAGCGGGAGTGCGCCCCTCAGCATTCGCCGCCGAGAGGCTCGCCGCCGCTCCAAGCTCGTGCAACGCCCGCAGGCAGTCGGCGTGGCCTTTTGTTGCTGCGGCGTAAGCGGGAGTGCGCCCGTTCGCAGCCGCCGCCGACAGGCTCGCCGCCGCTCCAAGCGCGTGCAGCGCCCGCAGGCAGTCGGCGTGGCCGTTTGATGCGGCTTCGTGAGCGGGAGTGAATCCGTACGCATCCGCCGCTGAGAGGCTCGCCGCCGCTCCAAGCTCGTGCAACGCCCGCAAGCAGGCCGAAGGGCCCGCCGGCGCGGCGGCGGGAGCGGCGGGCGCCGGCGCCGCTCCGCCTGCTGCTGCGTCCTCCGAGTCGGAGTCTGAGTCGGAGAGGACCGGCTTGACCGCCGCCTAACCAGTTCAGCACTTAGCCCAGCTCAGTCCGTCGTCCGAGGCGGGGAGGAGAGGACCGCTTCACTAAGGGCTTAGCTTGACCGCCTCCTCCGCCGCAGCCTCCTCCTCCCCGAGGTTGCTGCTCGCCCACGCCTCCATCTCGGCCGCCTCCTCCTGCTGCCGCTGCTGCTGCCTCGCCTGCTCCTGCGCCGCCGCCGCCGCCTCCGCCTGCTGCTGCTCGAACGCCTCGACGTGGCCTTCTGATGCCGCGACGAGAGCGGGAGTGCGCCCGTCCGGAGCCGACGCCGACAGGCTCGTCGCCGCCCCAAGCGCGTGCAACGCCCGCAAGCAGTCGGCGTGGCCGTTTGATGCGGCGGCGTGAGCGGGAGTGCACCCATTCTTATCCGCCGCCGAGAGGCTCGCCGCCGCTCCAAGCGCGTGCAACGCCCGCAGGCAGTCGGCGTGGCCGCGTAATGCTGCGAGGTGAGCGGGAGTGCGCCCGTTCGCAGCCTCCGCCGAGAGGCTCGCCGCCGCTCCAAGCGCGTGCAACGCCCGCAGGCAATCGGCGTGGCCTTCTGATGCGGCTTCGTGAGCGGGAGTGGTCCCATTCTCATCCGCCGCTGACAGACTCGCCGCCGCTCCAAGCGCGTGCAACGTCTGCAAGCAGTCGACGTGTCCGCTTGATGCGGCGGCGTGAGCGGGAGTGCGGCCTTCTTCGTCGACTTCCTGCATTGCTATACCGCGTTCGTGCAGCGAGCGAAGTGCAGCACTGTCAGATGAAGACAGCGTCCCCTGACATCGGCGGCTTGTTTGTGGGCGAAGCGGAGACCAGCTGAAGTGCAAGGTTCACGCAGAATTTCTTTTTTTGGTCGGCAGAAAGAAAGAAACATGGGGCCGACCACGCCCATGGGGCCGACCACGCCCTTCCTAAACCTGCCCGCCTGCATGTCAAGAACAGGCGGCCTCGCCCTCGCCAACCACACTGCCTACGAGAGCCTCG